ATAATTTATTATGTTTTACGAGTAATATAAACTTATTAAATTTTATTTATCATAATTTAATTTTGATTCTAGTAAAATAATATCGAATGTGCAAAAATAATAATTTTAATAAAAAATATATTAAAAAAGAATACAGGTAGGCAAACAATGATGGAATATTTTTGCAAATAATTCAAAAATATATTTATTAACACATACACATATGTACAGGCGATGAATTTATCGTAAACTATTAATTAAAAAAAATATAAAAAAAATTTAATTGGTATCTTTTTGGTACATTTTTTTCAATTTAAGAATCATAAATTATTTTTCATGTTCATCCCTTAAGGGTGATTAATGAATATTCTATACTTAATAATAATTTCAAATTATCTTATAATTGTTTACTGTTTTAATTGGAACCGTTTTCGCAATGTTATAACTATAACGTTATTTATTTTGAAAAATAATTGGAATCATTAGCATTCACAGAATTTTACGCACTCTCCTTTTAGCAGAATCGAATATCTTGTAAAAACAATAATAGAACTAGGGACACAATGCCCAGTTAAAACATTTAATTACCATAAAACGTAAAACATTTAAACCAATGTTTTAACTACCAAACGTTAAACAAATTTTACATTTTTTATTCGATCTCTGATTTTAAATAATGTTTACTGTAACCACGTTGTGAACCAGTAAGATCTCTAGAAAATTTACTGGTAGACAAATACACAATGGAAAAAATGTTCAGCTACAATAATACAGTAATCAATAAATGGTGGTTCTTTTAATGTTAGCCACTTGACTATTCTCAATTTAATAAAAATAGTAAGCATTTATTTTCTGATAAATTTGCATTCTGATTTATTTTACAAACTTATTTTTTGGAAATTTTATAAACACTATCCCATTTAATAGATATAATCTAATTAAGAAAATGACTGATCGATAGCAACTAACAAATAATAAGTATAGATTAGTGAGTCAATGTTCTTTTTATCATTAGACATTTTTTTTATCGCATTCCTCCTCCCTATATAATAAAATGCTGAGGTAATCCTCGTAATAAGTTACAAAAGAAATAAAAAATAATAAAATTGTAAATGTGTTTTTATAAAGCATTGTTGTTAAAAATTACAAATTGCAGTATAATGTACCATGGTTAATTAAATTAATCATCTCCTTATCTTTATACCAATTATTAGGAGTCGGCTCTACCTTATAATTTAAAAGGATTGGGAGCCAGTGCAGAGGAAGGTTTGAGTCTCTGTTAAAGTTCCCGTATGGTAACCTTTCCGTGAAACAACAATAAAGATTACAGTTGAACATCATCTTTAAGGATGTAACTGATTGATTCCCGGCGCTAAAACACGCTCCAGATAAATTTTAATTAATTTTTAACCTTAATTGTAGTAACGAAGGTAGTAAATAGTAAACATGTGACTATGATAATTAATGTCGTAGTTGGAGGTTCATCAAATAAACCTTTTTGAAATTTCTAAAATTCTAAAAAATCATAAATAATAAATTATAAAAAAAATTTTATGAAGGGGTCAAAAATAATTTAGAATGCTAATTTTTTTTCAAACTATAATACTTTATGGAAATGGAGAGCGGCAAATTTTACGTTGTCTCCTTTGGCATTTTTTTGGTAAATATAGGCCACTGCCATTATTAACACCTTATATAAAATTAAAAATTACTTTAGAAAATTGAAAAATATTTGAAGGTATTTCATGAACTATTATATAAGTAAGGACATTTATTGGTAAGATGAAATATGCATAATTGAATATTGTATCACGTTTATCATTTAGCTTAAAAAATACTCGAGTTAATATGATTATATTATAATTAATTTTATTCTAACAACAACCATTGTCACATAATAAAAATGTACAAATAGATGAACAAATATATAACTATTTTTAATGTTTTGGCTTTGATGCAAAGCTGAGAAAGTATTAATTTTAATATAATGTGTTTTTTATTTTTTATTTATTTATTTTTTTTGTGTCTTGGAACGCTCAATCTCAGCTCTTGCTGGACCGATTTTGATGAACGATACATCAAAAGATCACTAATCGTATCTAGTTAAAGACATTACTCTCAAAAATTGAAAAAAGTCCCTCGTTCCCCGTAAACAGTGAAAATCCCCAAAAAAATTACAAATTTAAAAATCGGTAAATTTCGTATTTCGTATAAATAACTTTTTTTATAATGACCGAATCAATATAATTTTATTTTTATATAGATACCTTAGATATTTACCTATCTATTGATTTATTTTTGTGAACATTTGACCCCTTATCAACCCACATAAAGGGTTTCAAAATGGAAACTTTTTCAAAAAAGCGTATAGAAAGTAGAACTTTTTAAACTTAACTTTTGAAAATGTTCCGAAAATACTGACACTTTTACATATATCTTAAATTAAAGCTTATGTAATATTATTTAATATAAAAAAAAAAAAAAATCGGACTTTATTTTGTCTTCATGGTGAAAACAGCTATTGTATTCAAAAATATGCTATTTTTGTGTTAAATTTCTTGGTTTTATATTTCATTTTATTATATGGGGATTACACTGATTTTCATAAATATTATATCAATCTAATTGGTATAGCATAGAAACTTAAACTTATTTAAATTTTTTTACTTTTTTGAAGTCGAGAAATAGAACTTTAAAAATTTGAACTAGCTAATTTTTCATTTTTATTAAGTGACGAATGCGACGTACGGTTTCTGAGAACCGTAACACTTGGGTCTTTCACGCATATGGCACTGAATTTTTTTTTAATTCTTTTTGAGTTAGAAAAAAATGTTTAACTCATTTGATTTTTATCTCATATAGATTCAATAATTTCAATAAATATCAAGGATCCCATTACTGTAGTCTCCTCTCCTGAGAAGAAATTCATATTACTATTATTTTACTATGGGTTTTTTTTTTTTGTAGCTATCATTTATTTTCTCAACTATAACTTGACCTACTTTTTTGACATGTAATATACTTTATTTTGAAAAAAAAAATTTGATCTCCGGACTTACGTACGATTTGTACGTAAAATATAACATAAAAAAAAATAATAATAAGCATAAAAATATGCTATTTTTGTGTTAAAATTCTGGGTTTTGTATTTTATTTTATTTTAAAATACCTGACAAATGGAGTACACTGATTTTCATAAATATTATATAAATCAAATTGATATGGCATAGAAACTTAAACTTAAATTTTTTTACTTTTTTTAAGTAGAGAAAAATAACATTGAAATTCGAACTAGCTAAATTTGTCATTTTATTCAGTGACGTACGGTTGCCGAGTTGTTAAAACTTGTGTATAGCTAGAAATTTTTTGTATTTTTTCTTAATTCTTTTTAAGTTAGAATAAATTTTCAACTACTTTGAATTTTATCTCATTTAAATTCAATAACTTCAATAAAGATCAAAGATCCCATCACTGTAGTCGCCACTCGCGAGAAGAAATTTCTTATTCATATTTATATTATTTTACTATATTTTAAGTTTTAGCTTCGATGCAAAGCTGAGAAGATATTTTCTTGTGACTATCATTCATTTTTTCTGCTCTAACTTGACCTAAATTTTTTAACGATACGTCAAATGATTATAATTCATATTTAGTTGAAGATATTACCCTCAAAAATTGAAACAAAATTTTAATTTATCAATGAAACAGTTACTTATCCCATGTTCTCCATACAGACAATTAAATTATTTCATTTAACTTTTCCATTTTATTATATATTTAATGTATCGTTAGAAGGAATTAGATAAAAATTATTTGGTTATTGTTAGCTACATATTTTTCTTGAATTATTATACATATATATTTATATGACACAAGGTTATAAATTATACCTAACCATCAGTTACAGATTTACAAGTGTATGATTTATAAACCAACACAAGTTTATCTTAAATCCACAAATGAGTGAACAAAACACTATTACAATTCAATTATTAATATTTAAATAAAATATATCTGTAAAACTACATCAGAGCACGTAGACCGAACAAAATATAAAATAAAAGAGTATACATGTCCGCTATCTAGAATAAACAGTTGATTAAGAATAAAAAATTCACATTTTCCATACTTTAAATAATTAAATTTTTGAAGATATTATTTTTATATTGATCAATGATAATTGTTGAAAAAAATTTTAGGACCTTATGGTATTTTCATTTTTGATTTTACTGGATAAATTTCTACTACTCGAGCAGTCAATAACCACAATATATATGTATAAGCGTCTATTATTCGCTTTATAAATTCATATTAGTATAATTATTTAATTACTAACAAGTATTTATATTGTAATGCGATTCTACGGCGGTAAGGTGTAATAAATAAAGTAAATGAACGAACAGTTTATTTAAACAAGGTGATTTAGAAATTATTATTATGTCAAATCACTTCACTTTATATAGTTACAAATATTATAAGAAGTAGAATAATAAGACATAAAATAAAGATTTAGTATTAAGATGTAGTATTCTCTGGGTGATCATTACAAAATTATAACTATATACAGGACCTATTTTATGTACCGAAACGTCCTTCGTTCAGCACAATACTGTCGGTGACTGATCATCATACGCAATAGAATGAAATTAATTATAATATTATTCATTTATTTAATGAGATTTTTAACAATAGCTATATTACTTTTTATAGAGAATGTGAGCCATATAATAGCAAAATTACGTATACACGAATTTTTTTTAAACAGCTTTTTCTTTACTATAGTAAAGAAACATATTAGTATAATTTTTTGTTAATTCATCAAGAAAAACACAATTTTTTAAAATTTGTTTATATAAAATAGTATTTGTTTTAACGCTAGATGATGTCATTATAAAAATAATTTGAAATATGTTTTATGAAGTTTAACTATAATTATGTCAATAACATAAAATCTATTTTTTTTACGAAAAACATTATTTTAGTATAAATAATTATTTGCACTATTTCAGTATAAAGTGCAAAACAACTTACGTAAAATTATTTAGCTAAAATTTAAACATTTAAATAATTATTTTTTAAATTGTTAATATCTTAATAGAAAAACCATTGTAATGCATTTAAAAACTATAATAATCTTTTGTGCAGTTGGTTTTTTTACCGACACAATGGTAAGAATTTATTAAACTAATTATTTATTTTTTTTCCTAATACATTATATAAATATTTAAAGAGCGAAGGTCTTAATGCAATCCAAATACAATGTATTCAAATGTTGACGAAAAAGTATAATGATGATGCAATGATAAGAAAATTTTTAAATTTTTTTTTTATCGAGGTAAATGACGAATTTGTACTTGAAGGTAATTACGTATAATTTTTAGCTTCGTTCTTTTAAGATGATTTTTTTTTATATAGAATGATTCTTTTAAAAATAACCACTTAATTTATATGGAAATACATATTTTAAATTTAATAAAATGTTTGATCTTTTAATTTAATAGTAACTGGCATATGAATTTTTAATATAACGTTTTTAGTTTATTAGATATAAACATTTAAAACTTAAAATTTTTGAATTGATATACCTGGATTTACAAATACAGGTAGCTGTTTGGTTTTTTATGATGTCACAGTCACGGAGAGTTTATTGTCAATTATGACTATCAATAGATATACTTTCTATATTACAATCAGTGATGTGTACCCACGAATATCGATTTCATAAGAAACCAATTAGCTATCTGTATTTGTAATTTCTTATGTATTATACATGTATATTAACTCATAAATTTGTAATTTTAAATGTTTATATTTAATAAACTAATAAAGTTATATTAAAAATTTTAATGGCATTTACTATTAAATAAAAAGCTCAAACATTTTATTAAATTTAAAATATGTGTTTCTATTTAAAAAAACAAAGTTGATACCCTTTCTAGTTGTAAGGGATGAACTTTAAAAGTATTACATAGCTAATAATTCAAGAACAATCTGTAACTAAAGCAAATAAAAACAAATGTTTAAATTATATTTATTCTGTAAGTAATTGAGTGGGTAATTAAGCATCTATAAAAAAAAACTCAGCACAGGGGGGCTGCGGCACAGTAATGACGTGGCATATTTAGATTAAGTATAAAGTTATCTGACAGTGATTAAAATCACTATCCAAAAACAAGCTTCGATGCAAATCTATAGATAGTGTTTAATTTTAAAAAATTGGTGGATTGTATGTCGTATGAAAGATGTATAAAAATACTACTTCTTATGAAAAAATTGTATTGATCCATACATTTTTTAAAAAGTTATAGCATTTTAAAGTAAAAAATATAAAATATAAAATCGAGAATTTTCACACAAAATTAGCATTCAGTAGCCATTTTCACCGTGAAGACAAAATAAAGTCCGACATTTTTTTTCCCCATAATAAATTAAATTAAATTTGCTTTAATTTAAGATATATATTTATAAGTGTCAGACTTTCCGGACCACTTTCAAAAGTTATGTTGAAAAAGTTAATTTTTTGTGAAAAAGTTGTCATTTCATATTCCTCCCTGTGGGCAGGTAAAGGGTCAGATTTATAAAAAAAATATATCATATGATAGGTGAAGACATCAGGCATCTATAAAAAAAAATTACATTTTTTCATTTTTCATTTTTGTTCAGATTTGTTCATTATTGAAAAAGTTATGACAGTTTTAAGTAAAAAAAATTGAAAAAATTTCGAAAATTAGCGATTTTTAAATTTATAATTTTTTTGGAGGTTTCCTCCATTTAGGGGGAATGAAGTAAAATTTTCAATTTTTTAGGGTAATGTCTCCGACTAGATATAATTTGTGACCTTTTAACATATCGTTGAAAGAAATAGGTTCGATGAGAGCTAAGAAAAAGTGGTAGCAGACACAAAAAAAAAAAATTATAAAAAAATAACACATCATAGTAAAACTAATAACTTTTCAGCTTTGTATCGAAGCTAAAAATAACTTGTATAATATTGGTTGTTTTTGTGAAATTATTTTTGGCTTTTGTTAGTTATATATGCATTTAAATTAATCTGTTATAAAATATTACGTATGTTCTTTTCTTATGTGTTTTAAGGGTATTGTCATTTCTTTATTAATGGCAACATACATAAATTAACTAGTCTGTAAAGTAAAAAATAATCTTATTATGAAAATGAATCGTATTTAAGTTGTAATATCTCTATAATTAAATATGAGGAGAAGTGAGGTAGGGAAATACCTAGTGATAAAAATAGCAGGACGCATTAAGTAGGTGAGGGGTCTCCTTTATTTGTTAATTTCTTTTGAAGTACTGATCTATAAGTTGTTATCAATCTTTTTTTTTAATTATATCATTTTTTATTTTATTAGTTTGTTAAATATGTATTTTTTTAAATAAAGTTGACACCCTTTTATGACAAAAATTAAACAATAACTTCACAAAAATATTTTTTTTTATTATTTACGTCAAACTTATTTATTTCCGTATGCGATTTAATAATTACAGTTCGGTTTAAAAAAAATCTTTCTTTTTCACGATAATAATCGCTTAAAACATTACTCAAAAACAAAAAAGAATGACAGATAATGAAACGATTGAGTTGGGATTATAAAGAATATATTAAGCTAAAAATGTTGATCAAAAAATAAGGGTAGGATTTAAAAATATATATATTTTAAAATGATGGGTAAATACTTAATATATCTATTAAAAAGAAATTGTTTTTATTTATTTATTTTTTAAAATGTTATGCCAGTTTTAAGTAAAATTAATTAAAAAATGACCGATTTTTAAATTTGTAAATTTTTCGGAGATTTCTCCTATTAACGGGGAACGAGGGAAATTTTTTAATTTTTGAACGTAATGTTTTTGAGTAGATACGATTTGTGATTTTTTGACAGATACAAAAAAAAAACACATAGTGTAATTAGTACCTTTTCAAAATTTGCATTGAAGCTAAAAAGAGTGGTGTAAAAAATCAGTTGGATTTATAAAGAATACATTGAAGTTAAAAATTTAAATGTTAAAATCAAAAAATAAAAAATACTTCAAATAAAAATGTACAACTTTACTATTTTATTTTTGGAGTTAAAACATTAAAATTTAAATACATAAACTTGAAAGATCATTGAATATTTTCTAACCTATTTTCTCCTATTTATGATATATTATATATTTAGCAGTTGGCGAAATATACTAATTGTGATAAATAATATTTTCTTAAAATATTTATTACTTTATCAATAATTTGACGCGTATCCAAAGTACGGTTGAGCGCGCACTACAAGTAAAAGATATACCGGGCGATAAATTAAATAACAATATATATAAATATACACCACAAGTCGTAGCGATAATACAGAGTATCTAAAGGTATAACAATACGCCTGTCTATATTCATTTATTTAAATTACACTGTTATACAAATTATGTTTCTATATATTCCTCGTCGGTTCGACACAAATTAATCGTTATAAGAATAACCAATATGATCGCAATTAGAAAGGAATCAAACACTGCACCCAGTTAAGGTTTACGTCGGAAACGCAACAGAACGCAATATCCGTAATCCATACTCGGCGGTGGCCTTATCTCGGTGTTAAGGGCGGGGAGACAACCGATTGTCATATTAATAGCTGGACGGCTGATATCGCGAGAGACACGGTTGAGCGCCAGCCTAGAGCGACGGGCGGTGCCGTGTCAACTCCCCCCCATCAAGCCGTCAGTCAATCTCTTGACCCAGCCGGTATTTGTAAACAAATTGTCGCATCATACACAGTAGTTATAAGTAATAAACAATTGTTGACTTACCATCATGTTCCTGTGTGTGTGGTCATTGATATTGCGTTCAAGACTTACCACATTAGACTGAAACCTTCAGTCTTGCTGGCAAGAGGGAATGGACTATTCGGTCCGTTTCGGTTAAGGCAAAAACATTGTCAAGAGTGGCCCGCGTATTATCCGACGTTCTCGTTATCGGTGCGCCCACCAGATTGTCGTCGAATAACTCTTCGTCAACAGGGGGCCCCGCGGTCGGATAACGTGACAACATGTCCGGTCCTTCGTTGTGTTTCCCGGGTACATGCGTCGTTGTAAAATTTAAATTACCTAGATGTAGCTCCCACCTAGTTAATTTTGAATTGTTGTCCTTTGCTCTGTGTAGCCAAGTCAACGCGAAATTATCTGTAAATAATTCGAACGGAGAATACTCTAAGTACGGGTGAAATTTATCAGTCGCCCATATAATTGCTAAGCATTCTCGTTCTACGGCGGCGTAACGTTTCTGCGTTTCTGAAAGTTTCTTACTGGCGTAGGATATGATTCTTCTCTCTCCCGGTTCATCTCCGTGTTGAAAGAGTATTGCTCCCACGCCCATTTCACTCGCATCGGTTTGAAGGCAGAAAGTTTTCGTGTAGTCAGGAGGACTCAGTCGTGGGGACTTACACAGGGCCTTTTTTACCTGTTCAAAAGCCCTTTGATGGTCTACCGTCCACAACCATTTCGTCCCCCTTTTTAGTAGATTTGTCAGCGGCGCTATTGTTTCGGTGTAGTTGTCGACGAATTGACAATACCAATTAAATATGCCGAGACATCTACGTAGGTCCCTGATATTCCGTGGGACCGCTAGGACGCGGATGGACTCGAGTTTTTCGGGCTGCTTGTCTATGCCCTCACCGTGTACAATATGGCCCAAAAAGGAAATTTCGGAAAACCCTATTTTACACTTTTTTGTGTGACATGTCAGCCCGTGTCGCTCTAATCGTTCTAGAACTTTGCCTAAATGTTCTAAATGCTTTTCTAAACTACTTGAATAAATGATTATGTCGTCCAAGTAAACTTGGACAAAATCATCTAGATATCCTCTAAGTACTTCATTCATAAGTCTTACGAAAGTCATAGGCGAATTTTTGAGTCCAAACGGTANTTCATTCATAAGTCTTACAAAAGTCATAGATGAATTTTTGAGTCCAAACGGTAGTACACGAAATTGAAACAAACTCCTTCTTGATCTAAATGCCGTAAACTTACGGGATTTTTGGTTTAAGGAGCATTGCCAATAACCCGACTTTAAGTCGAGAGTTGTGTACATTTTTCCCCCTCTCATGTTCCTAACCATGTAGTTTAGATTAGGCATGGGGTACGCGTCCGAAATGGTTACTTCGTTTAGTCGTCGGTAATCTATACATAAACGAAAAGTCCCGTCCTTCTTCCTAACCAGCACGATTGGTGCTGACCACAGCGATACACTCGGTTCTATTAGCCCTTGCGCCTCCATGTCGTTTACCATATCGTCAATAATCTCCTGCTTGTGCAGGGGGTAGGGATACGGTTTTAGTGCGATAGGAGTCGAGTCTTTCAA